ACTCTCTTCCCCCATGCAGCCACATTACCCTCCCAAAAGTTTCCACTTGCAGAAGAAAGATTCCATAATCACTGCCAAAGAAGATAAACTAAACAAAGGTAATAAAATTTGACATGCTCATTCAAAAATCTTGAGGCACGTATCAGATGTGACTTTTAAAGAAGACTTCTGAAAGTTTGTGTGGTATAACACGCCGGCCAGAATATCTAGGGTGTTTCCAGCACTAACAGATCTCTGCTGGATGTATAATTGAAGGGACTGGTTTTTCCCCTGCATGGTAGCATTGTTAAGGGATATTTGAAGGAGGAGATAGATAGTACAGTATTACAGAAATTACAAGCCACAACTTCAGTGAACTATAGCTATACTTTCAGGTGATATTAAAGATCAGATCCCTATAGATTTAGTGGCAATGGTAGGCTACATGTTAAAAGCTTCAAGAATTAGTCTAGCAAATGCTTTTCTAACATTACATATGCTGTCCCTTGAGAAATAGAGGATCTGTACTATTATAACAATGAATAAAATCACAGTTGATAATCTTCTTTGGGAGAGAAGAATTAACTCCACGCAGAATTGCCAAAGCTGGAAATTGATGGAACAGGAATAGGTCAAGACATCTAGAAACTTCAGGTATACTGCTGTGTATTAAGTGTAGAAATTGTGATCGGTATGAATGAATGCACCCAAGAAGAAAAGTAAAGATACCTGTATGGACAACAGGAGGAACTGTAATAGGACTCCCAGCCATGTGGCTGTATCCTTCACATGTAGCTGCAAGGCACACTGGGTTACATGACCGAGATGTGTCTGTTAGCGGCTAAATATAAAAGGGGCCTCCAGCAGAGGTCTGGATCTCCATGTGATGGGAATCAGAATGAAATATCACTGACAACATCCTTCTCTCCTGTTCTAGATCTCCTTATAGTTTTGGGACATCAGAACTCCCACAGTGTTCTATTCTTGTGTACTACCATCTTCTCACCCTTATTTTTGATTTTGACAGCCCTTACAGAGCAGAAATGGTGCTTTAAAAAACACCAAGGAATTGTTCATAGCAAGCAGTTGTTTATTATCCGGTTTCCAATTAGGTTTTTTTTTGGGGGGGGGATGGTCCATCTGCTATCATATTTTAGTATTTTGATCTACATGCACAGCATCAAAAAGGCATTTCTACATGATTGCTAATAGTGTCAATATTCTAGTGCTTGGAATGGTAAGGCAATGCCTATGCTCAAGATGCTGACAAAATCAAAAGAACTGACCATCACTACTTCTCAATCTTATCTGAGAGTGAACTGAGGGAGCCACTTTGACAAAGAGAATAACGGAGACCCAAATGCAGCTTTTAGAACACAATAAACAGTAAGTCTACTTGGATGTGTCATTGTGTTCAATAGAGCCTATTCTCAGGTAGGTGGGCATAGGGCTGTGACCTTAAAATGTTGGGATGCTTCAAGCAAAGGAAGTCCAGGGAAAAGAAGAGGAACTGGCAGAAGGAAACTTCACCTCACCTCCTAATCCTTTCAATTGAAGACAATTCCTTTAGGTAAACCTCATCTCACATTCTGCTTCTGAAAATATAATTGCTACAGATAAAGTCTTTATATATCCTACAGTTTTATACCCATTTAAATGTCATTGCTTCCCCTTACAGCAATGCACAAATGGCATCTCAAATTTATCCACCCTATTTGTCAGTAAAGAAATTCTTGGGGACGTTGAATCAAATTTCTCCAAGGAAGGAGAAAGTGTTCAACAGTTTCATGGGGGGTGGGTTTATTTTAGCAATGATAGTAACACCATTTCCTTCTCCTTTCCCCCCAGGTTGTGTGTGTATGTGTGGGTGGGGGGGGGGTGTTCTTTTGCTTTTGTTGATCTGGCCCCCAAAAACAAAACAAAAATGGTGGAGACAATTCTGCCATGTGAGTTTCTTTTTTTAAAAAAGCAGGGGTGAGAAAAAGAAGCATCTCAGAAATAAATGTATCCTGATAAATTTTTGCCAAACTCCACAATCCCCCAGAATCTTGAGGAACGAAGCTGAGATGCCAAGACTTCTGGGGGAGAGGGGGGTTAAAGAGCCTAATTCTGTGTATATATGCTGAATACACTTTGAGACTACTCTATTTGGAATTTCCTTTGTTTCATATATCCAATGACAGTCTAACTTAAGTTCCATTCATTTCAGTGGGTCTACTCTAAGTAGGACTAACACTGGATGCAACAGGGAATACCTCATCCCACAAAATACTTTCCACTGAAAAAATAGCAAGGCAAGCAGATAATGCTGCTTGATTTACATGACTAATGGTCCTCTTTCTAACCATCCAGTAACCTAATCCATGTGGAATCAGCCAATCCAAACTGAACAAGGCAGATTACCAGCATTTGCTGAATGCATTTTAGGGAAGAGAGACTAAAGTTTCACATGACGTATAATCTTCCACATGGTGATGGAAAAGAAGCGATACTGCTGTGAACAACTTTCTAGATGCCCCAAGAACCTGCATCCAGTAGTAAGTCTTCTTGCTTCTTGCAGAAGGAACTGTGACTCCTACTTTCATTGCTGAAAACAAACCTATCTGAACACTACAATCAGCTCCTGAAGCCCTCCTCCAAATGCCTCTTCTGAGGATGCCAATAAAGGGTCTTCTCCGTGGTAGCCCCCCTGCATGCACACACAACAGTGAAATGCTATCCCCACTGGGGTCATCCTGGCACCGACACTGGCATCTTATTTCCAACAGGTTCCTCCACTCTCAAGCATTTGCTTGGGTTTTTAATGTGAATTTTTTATCAGGTCATGATTATCTTTAAAAAAAATGTTTCTAGCTTCAAGCTCCAAGTGGCAGTCCTCTTTTAATTAGACCCACCCACACACACAATATCACATCAAGAACAGATTGTGGTGCCTTCAGCTGAGCAACAGCATTTGACTGCTGATTCCCTGCTTGCTGAATCTTTAAGCTTTAACTTAGTGGTTTTAGTTTCTTATGCAGTACATTTATCCTTTCACTGGAAGTTGGAAGCACCACGGCCTCAGTTCATCTTTAATTAATCAACTTTTTTCTTAGATTTTGAGCAGAGACAACAGTTATTTTCCAGGAGGATCACTTTAAAAAATAGGGTGGGGTGGAGGGAAAGAGGGAATCTGTTTCTAGACTTAGTGTGATGTCATTCCATGTTGCCTGAGAGAGACTTGTTAAACTCTTGTGGCAGTTAATAAAAATAAAACAGAAGTGACAATGTTAAACTGCTGTAGGAAACATAAAGTTACATTTACAACATTTTCTCATGCTCCTCCCATCTGGCTAGGTTTTCAGAGATTCTGGAATAATTTATCTTTGAAAATCACAAGCAGTCTTTCTGTGTGCTAAATTTCTGATGCCATTTTCTGAGTTAGGGAATCAGAATATGAAAACTTTTGCTACCAGTAAATATGTGAAAATTGTTATTTGATCGTATTTTGCTGGCAAAACTTTGTTTACTTCTTTTATTCTAAATGTTCATTTAAAAGCCTGTTTTCTCCTTAAAACCAAAGGAGTAAAGGGTAAAAATGCTTCTTGGCAACAGAAAACAATACCAGTACAACTTTTTAGATGGAGTAATTTCCAACCCTTTACAAGAATATCTACAGCCTAATAAATACCAAGAAACCTAAGAGGCAGATAGCAAGCTGTCATGATATAGAGAGAGCTGCAAATTCAAGATTTAGCTGATCACTTGCTCATAGAGAATAACTGACTCCCCTCTTGTTTCAGTTTTATTTCTTCTTTTCATCTCATTTCTCTTCCAACCATAAATAGGCTGCATATTCACAAATATTTGCCTGTACCAAAGACTCCCTTTCCTAAGAATATGTTCTAGGAGAAAACAGTTTAAAAATCTCATCCCATGCTGGCTTTTCTTCATGCCAGAAGACACAAACTATTTTATTTATCCTAGCTAAAGGTTGGGTGCAGCAAGGGAGAACGGCTACCCTCAATCCCGGTCTCTTCCACCCCTAGAAATGCATGTGTGATGCAAGGCTTGATATTTTCACTCACGAACACATTTGGAGTGGGGAGAGTTTCCTAAAGCGTGGGTGTAATATATACAAGTTATGTGTCCAGGCAAAGAAGTGAAGCACGCTTATTCCAATAATAATCTGCTGCTCAGGTTGGAAAGGGGCAATTTGCAGGTGCTTCACCTATTTAAAGAGCACCCCTGGGGAAACCCCGGTCTCAAAGGTAAGATCCTTAAGACCTAGTCCAACCTTCAGGGGTAGATGAGTGTTGCCGCCATCCCTTCGCATGCATTTTCTTCCTGAACCATTTGCTCAATGGGTGGCTAGGGGAGCGGAAGAAGTTTTCAGTGCCGGGTGCTCCTGAGCATGCGTAGAGTGTTTGCTGACAACACTCATTGCAACCAGCAGGACTTCCAAGCAGTAAGCAAGTTCGAGCCCGGGCAGCCTTCATTTTCGGGAGGGGACAAGGGAGACCGGCGGGGGAAGGGATCAAACCTAAGTGGAGAACCTAAGAAAGCCGGGTCGTCTCCAGCAGTCTTGGCCCCGTACAAACTATTCGTATATGTTTCAGAGCAAGATCATTAGCACGCCTATTGAGTATCTCTCGGCAAAGTGAAAGCCTTTTCATTTACAGCTCTGAGCGGACGGGGAAGAGTGCACAGGGCAGTTAAGGTAACACACACACACACACACACAGCCGCTGCTGCATGCATTCTAATACAGCCGACTTCGTTTTACCAATAAGCGTACAAACCGGGAGAGAAAAGCAGCGCACAGCCCCAGAAAGGGGTTGAAACAGTAATAATCAGGAGAATTATAACAATAATAGTAATAAACCACAGAGATAATCTCGAGCCAGCGTTGCTCTCCCCGCTCGCCGAAAAGCCTCTCCAGAGCCAGCAAGGCGTGAGAACAAGTTGCAGGGACTGGATTCTCCCCGCAGCCACGAGTTCCCAGCTGCCCGTGATCCTTGCGAAGTGCCGGCGAGACTTACCCCGGTAACTGTTTCCGGGCTTGTAGAATTCCGGATCGCCTTCCACGCGCAGGCTGAATTCGTTGTAGCCTTCCCGCCTCGTGCCCTGGGCTCGCAGGATCCGGCTGCAATATCCCTCGGATTTGGAGGCTCTCTCTAAGGTCTCATCCGCGAAGGAAGCGAATGTCACCAGAGGAAAAGTCCACGCGAGCAACTGCAAGGCTTGCCAAGGAGCAGGGCGAGGGGGAGGATGAGAAAGTCCCATCCTCTGGATTCCCCAGCAGCTTGAAAAATAATAATGCAAATAAATAAACGGCGTGTGTGTGTGTGTGTGTGTGCGCGTGCGGGGTGGGGGGAGAGGCACCGCGTCTAGCTGTTGCTACACAAACAAAACCCAAACTAATAATAGTAATCAGAATGCAAAATCGCAACCTGGACAGGTTCAAAATAGATGGCGGGGGAGAACCCCCAGCACCCCTCCCTCCTCGTCTCCGGAGAAAGCGAAGGAAGCAACGAAGCAACGCAGCCTTTAATCAGTTGCAGCCCGCGAAGAGCGCGCCCCCCCGCACCGAGCCCGGGGAGGGCTGTGAAAGAGAGAAGGAAGGCGAGGGGGCAACTGCTCGAGCTGAAGGACTCGCTTCGCCTCTGCTGAGGGAGAGCGGAGGAAGACTGATCTTGCCCAGATCCGAACTGAAGTGCTGTTTTGTTTCAGACCTTGTGATTAGCCGCTCGGTGATGTTTACTTAGCCAAGCTCAATTCACAGGGGTCAGCGAAATGGCGGGGGGGGGGAGTGTTGGCTGATGGTTCGGTGGGGGGGACGTTGTCGTCTCCAAGACGCGTGTATGTTTCTCTGTGTCTGTGCGTGCATGTGTGTGTATGGGAGGGGGTTCCCGCTAGATGCGATCGCACGACAAAGCCTTGGGAATTAATCACCTGAATTCCTGCCGAAGTCTATAGTAACTCTGTGGAGAAAGGGGCGGACAGGAATGTCCCGGCTGAACTCGCCGGGGCCAGACACTGCAAACATTTCCCTCCGCTGTGTCCTGCGGGCAGAGGACCTCGAGGTGGGCTCGTCCGAGGGACCCCCGCCCCGCCCAAAGCGTATGGCGCGCAACTTTTCTGAAAGCAAACCGGGAAGACCTGCAGGGCACCCTGAAACCAAAGTTGCGCTGGTGCGGCTGCAGCAGCAGGTCAAACTGCGCGTGTTTCTCGGAAGTAAGCCCTACGGAAAGTTCGGCGAGACTTACTGGGCCATCCAGGATGGGAGAAGCCTTCACTGGGCACCCAGGGTGCGATCGCAGCTTCTCCCGAGGAGAGAGAAGGCGCTGGTCTTCCGAGGCCACCAAATGCCCGGGAGGTGGGGCTGTCACGGGCGCACCATAGAAGGGCCGCCAACTTGTGGCTTTGAAAATACCGGGCCTGTGGCTTGTGTGTTTCGCGCTCTGTGTGTGTGTGTGGGGGGGGGGGCGACCACCAGCAGTTTGGGTGGCCCCTTTGCTGGGTCTGTGGAGTTGTGGGTGGCAGGATTGGGCGTGCTGGGATGGGACGGCACAAGGTGGAGCAAACTCTGCCAGCACAAAATACCGGTTCTGTTGAATAAGACACACGCTGATGAGTCAGAGGCCAAGTAGCGAATGGAGGTGCTTCCAGCGGAGCCTTTTTTCTTTTCATTATGGATACAACAGCTACACACTTCCTTTCCATTGCTAGTGGTGGAAGCCCCCCGAGCAGGCATGGGACCTGCCGGTTAGCAAGCCCAAGAAGCAGGCATGGCAGGAAAAAACAGCAGGTTTCTCAGAGTATTTTCATAATCTCTGGAAGCGTCATGCGTGAGCATAGCCGGCAGGTCCCTTTGCACAAGGGAGCCACTGGTTGCTGAATTGCTCTTGATTTATTAATGCAATGAATCGAATCTTAAGGCAGAGCCGGGTGGGAGCCCTTAAAGCAAAGCTGCAGACCAGGCTGTGAAGTTGTGACTGCTCGATCTGGCCTGGCCTGCCTGTTGCAGCCAGCCAAACTGCGATGTTCTCAGGCGGTTGCTCCTGCTCGCCTGCCCTGCCAGTCCACACCCTGCTGGAACTGCCTGACAGCGTCTTATCCGCAGTGCTCCCAAGAGCCTTGGGATGCCTCCTGCGAGGCCAGGCACCCCTGGAATGCTCTCCTCCCTCTGCACATGGAAACTGCTGGGCTGGGTGAGAGGGCATGCAGATTCCGGAAGGCCACGTGATGAAGGGCAAGGGCTATGGATGCCTCCCAACCAGTCTTTGCACTGCGACAATTATAATGCCAGATAATTATATCAGTTACATTCTGAGGTTTAAAATCATTGCGTTATCTCTACCTACTAAGCTCCTCGTTGCACTCGGTTAGAATGGTGACGTTTTTCAAGAACCATGCAGCGGGCTGTTTCACTTCAACCTTTCCCTGTGTGCTGAAGGGTGAAATAGGGATTTGGATTTGCAGTTGTTGCCTGGTGCCCTGCAGGGGCAGAGCCAGCTCTACCGTTAGGCAGAGTGAAGCGGGGTTTTCAGGCGGCAGTTGCAGCAAGACTTTGGAGGAGAGATACTGCTGCCCTTAGGGGCAGTCTAGGATTAATTAAGTAATTTGCCACTTCACTTAGCTTTTATGCATGGAATGGGAGGGGGCGCTCTCTTCTTTGCTTAGGGAAGCGAAAATGTCCAGAGATGGCCCTGATCCTGGGGTGACGCATGATTATGGAATGAACTCCCCAACAAGACTCACCCAGCACCAGCATTATTCTCTTTTCAGTGCCTTGTTTAGATCTCCTCCTTCCTTCAAGCAATTGAAACTTAGGATGAGATTTCAGTCTTGCGTTTTTCTTGTTGGATATTCAACATTGCTTTAGAGATATGTGCAATGTTGTGTTGTGCTTATATGTTTGTGTGTGTGTGTGTGGTTCTTATAACACAGTTTGAGTATTCAGTCTTTGTAAACTTTTATTTTTATCTTATCATGTTATTATATTATTTATTATTTAATACTCTTTATTATCAAAGAGTATTCACTGATAAATAATCTCAGCTGTTATATCTGTTATATCTATCATACTGTTACATGGATATTGTTTTAATTGTTTTATAATCTGTTTTTATATTGTGATGGTTAACTGCTCAGAGGGTCCTGTTGTACTGAATGCAGTATATAAGATCAATCAATAAGCTTGGGTGGTGTAGAAATGTAATGCATGAATAAATGATATAACTCAGGCAAATCCATCAGGAGCAAAAGAGACTAGATTTGTGTCTCTGACAATGGTTTTGAACCACTGAAACTGGTAAACCCCCAGTGAACTCTGGGCCTCCTCCACGAGAAGATTGTTCAGAACAGACAAGCATCTTGCTATTCTTGCTGGTCGTCCTCACAATGTCTAGTTACAAGGAAATGCTGGGTATGCTAAGGGGGTATGCTAAATCTTTCTTCATGCAAGGTGGTGGTGTTGGCTAGCCGGCCCCACTCAGAAGAGTGCAGCTCTTAGGACATACCGTACAGTCCTCTGTGAAGTGCAGGAATTCTGTGGTGGGTATACAGGGATTCCTTATCTGGTTGCTCCATGCCAAAAGGTTTTCCTTAAAGCAATGTTTAAAAACAACAAAACCTTTGCAGTGGTGGGGATGCAAAAACTCTGTCCTGTGGGCCAAATCCTGATCATCTGAAGTCCCAATTGAACCCTTTACGGGGGTTCCTTTATGGTCATGACTCCTTTCTCTGGCCCCATCCTACTTCACCTTGATCACCTTTTGGAAGTCCCTAGACTTTTGAGACCCATTCTCAAAGTTCACATTGCCTCCCCTAATGCTTGGACACTGGCAGTTAAAAATGTCAAGCTAAAATATATTGGTATTTTGACCCTACCCCTTTTGCCCTTCCCTCAGTTGCCTTCAGTCCTACTCAGCACTGGAATGTGCTCCCCAAACCAGCTCTGAATGTGACCCATGGGCTGAACGAGGTTTAACAAACAGTAACAAATCACCCATAACTTTCCCTCTTTTTTCCCATCCTTACACCAATTGCAAGTGGCAGCACAATCTTAAATGTGGTGGGATACAATGAGGTGCAAACACCTTTGCCACTTCCACGTTCCTGCCAGCTGGTGATGGTCAGGGTGGATGAGAAAAAAAATGTTTTTGGATAGTTTATCTTTTCCTCCCACAGAGCCACATGAGGGGCAATGCAAAGGTCCCAATCTTGAAGACTTTTGGAGGGAACTTGCTATGCCCATGTCCAGAATGCCTCATCCAGGTTCTACCATAAACTACAACACTACTGAAGACACATTATTTATTTATTTATTTTTCAATTTGTATCCTGCCTTTTTCCTACAAAGGGCTCAAGGCAGCTTACATCATTCTCCTCCTCCATCTTATCCCCACAACAACAACCCTGTGAGGTAGGTTGGGCTGAGAGTCTGTGACTGGCCCAAAGTCACCCAGTTGGCTCCGTGGCTCCGTGGCTGAGTGGGGATGAGAACCCAGATCATCTGAGACCCAGTCCCATGCTCTCAACCACTACACCACACATGAACTTCTGCAGAGGTTACCATGGGCATATTTGAAGCTTCTGGAGCAGACTTGTTTAGAAGGGAGAATTTCACCATGCATACTTCTTCCCATTACGAGTCTAAAGGAACATCCTGAACCTGATAGGATTTCCTCTTCTGTTCAATTCGGAGTAGTAAGCCACATAGTCTCAGTCATTGGATGGACCGAAATGGGGCAGAAGTGGCTCAGACCTGGAGGAACAATTGCAATGTGACTCTTGCTTTGCAGAGTTAAGGAATACAGTGACAGAGTACAGTCATGGTAAGTTTTCCAGTGCCTTGAAGAGTTCATCTGTCAGATAAGAGAAAAGATTTATTTGAAAGGTGAGTGAGGTCAGATATCAAATGTGGGGCCTATAGATCAGGAAGAAAAGTTTGCAGTCGTAAATAGGGCATATCTAGTCTTCCCAGCCTAAAATGTTGAAATGCCTCTCCTAAGGCTTTGCCAATTACAAAAAGAATGGTAAGACCCAATCCTCTCAATGGTTAGGCAAAGAAAAGGCCTACAACTCCCATCATGCCCCAAGCAGAAATGCTGGCTGCACGTGCTGGGAGCTGTAAGCCTTTCCCTGTCTAGACATGCATAGGATTGTGGGTATTTGGCTCAGGCCACTTTTCCACCAAGCCCCACTCACCACTGGAGTAATGGGTTTTCTGAAATGGATTTCAGTCCTCAGAATGAAAGAGGTTCTTAACTCTTCCTTTAATTAAACGTTTCTTCCTTGCCCTTTCCTTTTAAATTACCTTCTGCCCATAGTTTTCACCTTTCCACTCACATAGTCACCACATCCCTCAACTGGCCATAATTAACCAGTTCTTCCTCAGGAAGGCTTTAAGAATGGATTTCTGTCTGCAACTAAAACTCAGTGGTATTTTCTTTATTTTCTATGATTACTTTATTTGCAAGATCATGCTCACACAAAAAAAAGTTATACCACCATGATGAAAGATGGTGCATGCTTGCCAGCTAAATGGGAAAGCAAAGTCAGCCATAATGTACAACTTTGTCCATCCATCAGCATTC